GGGGGGGCACAAAGGTTGACCTAACATTATCGCTTCTCCCTGGCCTACTTCTGTGCTGAAGCTTATAAAGACGCCCCCCAAATCCCATCCAACAAGTAGTTTTGATTCAGTTGGACATTTCATTTTGGGATCTATTCATTATGCTTATATACACCAGCATACTCAACCTGAAGAGGTGAGAGCGCATGGGAGGAAACACATGTGGTGTAGCTCAGCTCAATCATCCATGAATTGTTTTTAATAATTAAGTACCAGAACTCTGCAAGGGCTGAAAGGTTCTATATAATCATTCATCCTCATTAAAGATACTGCTAACTCTTCAAATGTGTGTTAATCAACTTAATGATTATGCATTTGTTAATTGCACAGTTGGGATAGAAAATAATTAGAAGTCTGTATTAAAGATGCACAGATTCTACAAAAATGGCATTTGGTTATTATGGGAGGGAAGGGTGTTTAAGTAAAAATAGCTTTTAACAACATGTCTGTCGTTACTGCTATTAACGTTAACCTAAATATGCTGTTTCCCCATCTATAAAATGATTCACACAGGCGTGATAGCACGTGCTGTCCTGCGCCACATAGCATTCTTAGCATAGATCAGCGGTGGAGGCCTGACAACCCCAATGATGTCCCTTCCGAATATTTTTAGGAAATCTGTTTTCAAAGTAAAACATTATTTTGTTGTCCAAAAGAACCATGCTGTTGATTTGTCCTTCTGATATTGCATTTGATGCATTCAGGGCCCGATGGCGACAAGTGTAAGCTCCCACTGAAATCAGCGGACCCCCATGGATTCCTTTCACTGCATTTCTGGAGGAATAAGGATCCTTATTTACATAGAGCTGGTGATGCTCTGTTTAAATACAGGAATAATTGCTTCAAAGCATAACCTTGGGTCTGACCCCAAAACCACCACATTTCTAAGATCTGTTCTGGAGGTATTTTCTCACTTAGCTGAATTGACCTCCACTTAATCTAAGAACAATTCAAGTTACCTGCTGCTGCAAAGGTCCTTTGAATCCTAAATTTTCTGCCATGCACAGTGCTTGGCTCTCCTTTACACCTTCAAAAATATCGATTTCCTCCTGGTACAATAAAGTGCATAAACGGAATTAAGATATTCGATTTGAGTGGAGATTAATAACTTCAAAAAGAAAATGCTTATTATATATTTGCAAATTAGTAATTAAAGTATGGCTGTTTGCCAAAGTTCTCCAAGGCTGAGGCTATAGCAGCTGCCTATAGGGTATGTTATAATTACCACACCATCTATGAAACAGTCCTTCGAAAAACTATATAATTCTTCAGGGTGGCATGCTGACAAGACAATCTGACACCAGTTTTCACTTTTAATTACTGTACAGATGGCACTGACGAATATTTAGTCTGTTAATTTTTATGACATCTTCTGGAAACTTTCCCAAGCAGTGGTGTCACTGCCCAGTAATGTCACGAAGTTTATATAATTTCAAAATGTGCATTAAATATTTTCGCAATTTTTACATAATTATACTTGTTTGCATCAATTATTTCCCGATACAAATAGCTTATCTATTCTCTATTAAGCCACAATGACATTATAAATACTTAAATGCAAAAGTCAGGATTAAGAAGTTAGTACTTCTCAGCAGTCATAATACCTTAAAAATAAGTTCTGGAGTGGTAGCTGCCACTTCTTCTATGTCCACACCACCCTGTGGGCTGCCAACCATAACAGGTCCACTAGAGGCTCGGTCCATCAAAATCGCAAAGTAGGTTTCCCTTGAAATATCCAGAGCTTCTGCAACCATCACCTAAAAATTGATATGGAGGGCAGGGGGTAAAAGTCAGTCTTTTTAACAGGTGGCCCTTGGCTAGCGAGAGTCAATCATAATCCTTATTCTGTTGATGCATCTGGGAGTGCTGAATATCATACAAGGCAAATATTAAAAGGCAAAACGCTTGAATGAATTAGAACAAGTCAAAAACAACATGTTACTCTGCAGTGACCTGCTAGTAGATATTATGGTGACTTTCATTTCCAAACGCTGCCCTGAAGTCATTACTTTGATACCTGCTACCCCATTATCCTGAAAGGTACCACCAACTTGGTTAGCCTAACAGTGTTTCATGATTCTTAGCATTTTTCTTACATTGCACTGTCCCAAAATCAGAGATTTCCTTGGCCATTTTCATTAGAAGGAAAGTTAGATTTGCACCTTATAGACTAATTAAATCAGAGACGCATTTTTATTTTTAATGAGAACATTTAGTAAACTAGGGAAACAATTTTTTCTTTCCCAGAAAGAAACTCAAAGCAGGAGGAGGAAAATGGCTGGTGACATCATGCAGAAAATCCTGGTGCTCTCTTCTCATTCTTTTGTGGATGAAATACATGTGGCAGGTTATAGGGCACCAGTGGCAAGATGCAGCGTAATCCTATAGAGCCTTGGGATACAGCAAGACATAAGACGGCCGACCCCAGAAGAGCTGGTGGCCTCATTGGCAGTACTGCTTCCTCAGGAGATGCTCTCCTACGGACGAACTTATACCAAACCTTACCTTTCCGTTATGCTGTTAGGTCAATGGCTCCTGTACAGATTTCCTACTAGCAATATGCATGCTACTACAGCTTTACACTAAAACCCTACAGCTTTTCACATTCCTTCCACAGAGACACTGGGATACCTCTCTGGGGCCTCGCTGCACTGCATGCCACTAATAAGCTAGAAGCAGATGAAGAGCAAGTTGCAGAGCTGTTGCTTCCCTGCTTGCCCCAAATCAGCATCCTTTTGCTCGCTAGCACCACTATGAGCTAAGGAACCCCTTCATGTCCCTAGCTGATGGAGTATCAACAGGGGCTTTATGCTACACCTGTGCGCTTGAAATTCATGTGTACTCTCACTTGCAGTGAGACTGAAAATGAAGTACTGCTCCTGTATTTTAATTATAACCCCCATCTGTGTGAAACAATGAAAGCACCACAGACAGCACCCTTTCTGTAAGGGTACAGGAATAACTGGGCTCAGCCCATCCAGATTATTGCTCATCATATTTGTTAACTAAGAGGAGTAGCAGGAATTGATGAGATTAGATGCCCTTTTGTACTTGCGGAGACTCACTAACATAGCTCTCTTGGCATGAGGATACCAAATTACTGTAAATATGCCATTTAAATAATCTCCTGCAGTACTGCATTCTCATCACATGCAGTGCTAGCAGTAGGTATACAGCTCTACTTCCAGGGCTGCAGTTTTCTGTTTAAAATCAGGCCAAGTGCAGCAAAGAGGATATCAAAGTGTGCTTCCCTACAATGCATTTGCCAGGGGCTCTAAGCCCCTGAAGCCAAAGAATCACGTTTGAGAAAATAGTGTGGTTCACTCTCCTCCGCTTCCATTCACACGCAAGCTTATTCACTGAGACAGCCAATAAGGTGAAGATCAGCCATGTCAGCTGGTGATGGTGACTAACAAACCCCTTCACTGGAAACCGCAGAAAACATGAACTGAGTTTCCGTCAGGTAATAAATAAGTATCAAAGAAGAACAACTGGATGCTCTGATTGGTTATAAACCAATGGCCTTAAAGAGTGACCTTCAATGAAAGCTTTGTATATATTGTTATGCAGGGCATAGCCATAACTTCATGCAAAAATTACATTCAGCCAAATTCAGGGCTGAAAGAATTCTGTTTTAGTCAAGCCAATGGCCCAGACTTTTAAAATATAAATTTAATTGTAATACTCCTAGTGTCATGACATTCTGCATGCCTGAGAGGATGTATCCACTGAATAACTGTTTCTGGGTTTTCATAATAGTAGGAATATAAATAAGGAAGGTGCGCTATAGTTTTACCCAGTTCAACTCTGTGCCGTCCTGCTAATGAGCACGAGAGAAAGAATGCACCTACCTTAAGCCAGGCTGTACATCTTTAGAGAACAAAAAACAAAGAGAGATAAGAAATTAGAGTTTGCCACTGTTGATTAGGAAGAAGGGAGGGAAGAAGCTATTTGCTAATGGAGATATGACTGGGAAGGAGTTTCGACCCTCAGAATAATCTCGCTTCCTTTTCCTCTCTCTTGCTTTCTTCCTAGAATATAGGGAGATCTAAAGGAGCAGTTCAAACAAGCCACTGTTCAAAAGCAGACTAAAGAAAACTAGGGATGAAGGAAGCTGCTAACAAACGATACAGAACTACTGTATTTTTTACAGGATGCCTATTCCTGGATGTTTTAAAGGAGGTCTACAAGCTGGCACTATAAGCTGCTTGCTATTCTTGTTACTTTAACAAGCACAGATTAGTTTTACCTGGACATCGTGTTTAGGTTTTACCTGTATATAGGGTTTGGCCTTCTCGGACACCCTGCACCAGTATATCATCAGTCTACGCAAGTACTGGAGCCAGTTGCTGGAGTTCTGAGTTGAGCAAAAGCACCGGTCAGATGATACCAGGACCATGGGGCCTCATCCTACCTCATTCGAGTTCTCCAAGCAAAGCCACCTGAACGCTCATGAGCCAAGAACACCAGACAGAGCGGCTTTCTATTTGGTATTAATGAGGGACATATGCAAATGGTTACTGAATTAGAGGAGACAAGTTGTGAATATGTGTTATCCTGTTTTTCACAGCTGCTTTGTATAGAAATATCCAGGAAGGGCAGAGGCAGAGTATTTTTGAGGCACTCTAGTAACGCCACGTTTTCCTAATTTAACATGTAGCTGCCTAAACTGCCTCTAAAATCAACTAATTTCACAAGAAAGTCTCAAAGGACCTTTGACATTGAATCATGTTTGAAATTTTAATTTTCTTACTGCTTAAAAGGAAGTCAGAGGTATTGGATTCTAACTAGTTGTCATGGGAAGCAAAAGACCGGTGCCCTTCAATAACAAGACTCTCCAAATTTCAGGGTGCCATAAGATGACCTAATGTAACCTCACAAACTAGCTGCCAAGCAGGAAAGGAGCTATGGGGTCTGTTTGTTTAAGAAATATAATCCTAAGTAGTGTAGACATGTTTTAACTGCTTTTGCAGGCACAGAAGTGGAGAGAGTCATCTTTTTTCCATTTAACAACTCTATTTTTTTTTTTTTTTT